GAGGGTGAGGGTGAGGCATTTTTATTCTATCTAGATCCATAAAAGTGCCATACTGTGTAATTTTGTTGCTAGTGATACCTGGACTGTTTGCTAGAGATGTTTCTTTTGCAAAGGTTTGGGTGACTGATAATTTACGATCCTTTATGGATCCATGAGGACAAAACAGTCAAAAAATGGTTTCCAGTTTGGAGCACAAGCTGGTAGAAGAGCTTATAGGAAAATAAAGCCTAGATTGGAGAAACACCTGTCCTGTGTAGGTAAGTCCCAAGTAATTCTGGGTGCTTTTGAGTGATTTCTGTGCCAAAATAAGTCCTTCAGACCCGCTATCCAGCCCTGAAGGGGGACACCAGACAAAGAGGCTTCACTCCAACTCATGGCCACTAACAGTGACAAGAGGCCTTTTATGTCCTACTGCTTGGCACTGTTTAAGGTTTCTTCCTGTCACTACTCTATGTTCTTGTTAATATCTGAAAATTATGGCCAAGAAGGCCTGGTTTGTGTCAGGAATAGAGTGAACAGAGAGATGAGAGCAGTGAACTTCCTGCTGTGCTGGGAACTGTTGAGGCACCTCAAAGACATGGTTCAGTTTTGGACCACTCACGACAAGAAGGACTTTGAGGTGCTGCAATGTGTCTAGATAGGAGCTGTTGAAGGTGCTGGAGCATAAGTCTTGTGAGGGGAGCTGAGAGAGGTTCAACCTGGAGAAAAGGAGGCTCGGGGGGACCTTATTGCTCCCAACAAGTCTCTGAAAGGAGGTTGTAGCCAGGTGAAGGTCAGGCTCTTCTTGTTAACAAGTGATAGGACAAGAGGAAGAGGAAAGGCCCTCATGTTCTGCCAGAGAAGGTTTAGATATGATATTGGGGAAAACTTTTTCACCAAAAACTTTGTCAAGCCCTGGCATGGACTGACCAGGGTAGTGGTGGAGTCACTGTCCCTGGAGGGATTTAAAAGCTGTGTAGATGTGGCACTTGGGGACAGGGGTTAGTGGTGGACTTGGCAGTGCTGGGGGAATGGTTGGACACAGTCTTAAAGATCCAACTTTTCCAAACTGAACAATTCTATGATTCTATGCTTCTATCTTACTGTGACAATCTGCAGCCTTTTATACACTCAGAGATTTAAATTAAGTTGATTGTGAGTTGATTTCTGTAAACTGTTGAAAACTCCACTTGAATGGGTTTGCAAGCTGGCTTTTGTCAGTTTGGCTTTCTTTGATATCTGAGATTGCAAACTAAACTACAAAATGAAATGAAAGTTACACCAAATGTGCAATATGTCATTTATACCGAGGAAGTTGGCATTTCTGAATGAACTGTATACTTTCAGGGCTTTGATCTTCAGGTGGAAGAAGCTGCAGGCAGAGAGCACTCATGGCTTTTCAAAACCAAGTTGTGATCACAGGAAACCACCTGGGATTTGTTCTGGCTCAGGTAAGTTGGAGAGACAGAGGGAAAGAAGCTCTTTTCCAGGCCATGAATGAGATCCAGTTTGGATAATAATGTAAACATGGCAGTATTGCTCACAGAGCAGTGTGGGTTTGGGACATGCTGTTTGGGTTTTGGAGTCTTCAGTATATCTGTGGAGCATATGAACTCTCCACTCCTAGAAACACAGAATCATAGAATGGGAGATGTTGGAAGGGACCTTAAAGATCATCTTATTCCAACACCCTGCCATGGGCAGGGACACCTTCCACTGGACCAGGTAACTCCAAACCCCATCCAACCTGCCCTTTAACATTGTCAGGCATGGGGCAGCCACAGATTCTCTGAGCAACCTGTGCCAGGACCTCACCACACTCACAGTAAAGAATTTTCTGCTAATATCCAACCCACCCTGCCCTCTGTCAGTGTGAAGCCGTTCCCCCTTGTCCTGTCATTCAGATCCTTGTAAACAGTCTCTCTCCAGCTTTCTTGTAGGCTCCCTTTAGGATCTGGAAGGCCACAGTTCGGTCACCCTGAAGCCTTCTCATGTATAGACATAAGATATTGGCCTTCCTGAGCTGGACTAAAGGTCTGCTGTGGGTTGGATTGAGGTCCCTCAAAGCCACTGCAGCCTCTGGCATTGTCCATGAAATCAGGACAAGGGACACCTCCTCGGATTTCTTTGAGACCCTCTTTTGGAAAACAGTGATTCAAGATGGCTTTTGTTGGGAACATCTGGGATTTGGTTTCTGGCTCAGCTGTAGTGAATGTGAGAAAAAGTGTGTCTTCACGGTTGATTTTTAGCTTATGCGACAACATTTAGTGGGGCTGTTAAAATGTTTAAAAGATGGCACATAAATAAGTGTTTGTGACTCCTCATCTGGTGCACGATCTGCTCCGACCACACCATGAACTTGATTTATATGTGAGAGGACTGAAGTCCCACAGGACACCAGAAACTCCTTGATCTCAAGGGTTTGTTCCTTTTTTTTTTTTTTGGCAGAGTTTGCACAGGAGATAAACCCGTGTGAAAGTCTGTGGCTTCCTTGGCTTTTGGAGGGGGGGCTGAGGGCTCTGAGAAACACTCTCACCCACACCTCACCTTGGCAGGTGGTTGAATTCCTCCAGAAAAAAGGTCTTTGTTTAAAGAACATGAATCACAGGACTTGTCTCATAACCAGGTAGTGGCCCTAGTTTTCCAGAGGGAAATTTTGAACTGCAGAGTCTGTCACGGCAGGTAACTATTCCCCCTCATATGGATTTGCCTAAGTAAGTTTTGAATACTTCAAAATATGAGGCTGAAGGTGCATCTGATATCTAATGGGAAGTGTGTGGTGCTGAAAGAGTTAACTGGAGCATCATTGGTTTACTGAGAAAGCAGTGGGGGGAAGAAATCTGGACCTGAATTCCAAATTCTGGTTCCAGCTAAGCTTCATGGGGTGAGTTTGACTCTTCTCTTTAAAAGGCAAAAACAATACGGTGCCCCAATTACTCTTTTATTTTGCAAAATGTCAAACTGCATGTGATCCATTTAATTTCTACAAGTGTTCCAAATGGGAGAGCTGTCTAGATGTTCCTTTAATTGAGCAATATCCTGCATAGCAACTATAGATTCATCCATCCCTAAAAAAGCTGCTGTAAACCTCATACACACATTTACAGTTCAAAACCTGCTCTAAACTCATTTTTGAAGTTAAAACTCTATTTAACCTGTAGTTGTAACTCCTTATTGAGCTCTCCTCATCTATTTTTCCTTCAGTCTGACTTGCAAAAATGATGGCTTTTTTTTTTTTTTCCTTAAAGTTGTCTATAAGATCTTCGTGTCATGATGGATCTTGTGCTGCACACTCACCTCCCAGAGCTGAGAAAAGGTCACTGGCAGTTCACTCTCTCCTTAAAATTTGAAAGACTGAGTTGCTCTGTAATACTAAAGTCACATATAGGAGCTGTGAGACATAAAAACAACATTGTGCCAGCTTGTCAGAAAGTCACCGAGCAGCTGCCCCTCAGGTTTCTCATAGATGTGTGTGTGTATATATATATATATATATATAATTTTCCAAATTACTGAAGGTCTGAAATTTAACTAAAACAATTAGTTAACAATTAGATGACATGGGTAAAAGAGTGAAAACCTGATGGGTTTTGGTGTGTTTTTTTTCACCTTCTCTTTTTTTTTTCCCTCCGCGGCAAGAATGCGGACTTTGTTTGCTGTCCTGTGGGCCTACCTATACCAGTCCAAAGGTGAAATGCCTGAATATTAAGCCATAATCCATCATTGTACACACACTAATTACTTTCTGTCCTCCCCTTCTCTTGTCACCGTGGTCCGAAGCAGGATTCCGGAGCTGAGTACATTCATCTGAGATGTTTGCTGCCACGCTCCACCGCATCCTCGTATGATCTGCCTGGGCTCAGGCCCCCAGAGGAAATTTGTGCATGCATACTGTATGTGAACTTTAGATAAATAAATAAACAGGAGAAACAGCTTCCAGATAATTGAAAGCGAGTGAAGGAGGGAGCAAAAAGAAAACAATTTCTCAGGGGAGAAGCAGGCTGAGGTGGCAGGTATGATTAAAATCCCTATGATTTATGAGTAGGTGCATTTCTAACGTATCAAACCCTTAGTGTTTGTTTCGTTGCATTTGACAATAAAGTTTCTTTCTTCCACCACTTTTTTTTCCTTCTTCCCCCCCTCCACTTCTTCTTTCTTTCTCTCCTTTCCCCCTCCCTCCCTTGTCTCCTTGCTGCAGGTTTTGCTCAGGAGTTAGCCACTCAGGAATTCCTAGTGCCTGACTGAGCAGTAATTTAGCAAGCTCTCTTGTGCTCTTTTCCTGTCAGCATTAACATGTCAATTCATTTTAATAGTCTGGGCATGCGCAGAGGGGATGCATTTTCTCAGTAGGTATCCCATGAGCCCACCCTGTGGTGCAGAAATGTGTTATAGCTTGTCTCAGGCCACAGAGAGACTTCAGCAGGTTTATTTTCATTATGGCCGAGCGTATTTGTTAAGACAAAGCATGAACAAGGGGAAAAAAAAAAAAAAAAGGAAGCTACAAAAACGAGACTTTAAAATATTAAATGGGATCTATGTGTCTGATTGGTAATTTATGACCTGTGCACAAAAGTGGTCATAAAGGATTTCTTTGCATGGTATTATTATGTGGTTTCAAGAGAATGCGTGCTGTCACTTCCTCTAGTTTTTTTGGAAATTAAATGATATCATGTCACATTAAGAATTATCTGTAATCGTGATTAATAGTGGAATTGGCTTTTACATTAAACCAGAATTTACTCACCATCTTTCTTACTAAAGAACCTTCAGATAGATTTGTATCTGATGTTTTGCCTCAAGTATATAAAACCAAGGACTATGCAGACCAAGAGCCAAAACTTTGATTACTATACTATCTTTTTTTAAAGAAAAAAAAAAGTTGATTTTTTATATGCTTTAAAATTTACGAGTAGAAATTGTAGATTTATGAGAAGAGAGAAGGAAAAATTTAGAGAGCTACCTCTTGGCATCTGAAATGACATGTTTCCAGATGCAACCTAAATTAAGCCAAGGTATTTTGGTTGTACAGTACCTTAGTGGAATTAAATATTTAAGCACGTGGAGCTGTGGTATCAACATCCGTATGGTGCAAATAGTTTTTCAGCCCAGCTGGACTCAGCCACGTTACCTAAGTGACCTGAAAAAGGTAAGATCATGGTTTATTTTTAAAGGATTCTCTTCACTGAAGGAAAATAAACTGTTCTGGTGGGCCCTGTCTTTCCTACTCTCTGTAGGCACACGGAAGCTGCAACGTGTTGGGAACGTGCTTGTGCTGGGGCACAACTGCAGTTGAGTAGGTAGGGAATTATGTCAGGAATCTGAAGTTTGGCCTGGAGATTCCCTCTCACTCCACTATAGAAGGAACAAACTTGTTTCCTCAAAAAAGGAATCCACAAAGTACCTTTTTTTTTTAAGGAACAGGCTCCCCTCGATGCTGGTCAGCAGAGCATTTCCCAAAAGCGGTTGGCACGAGACCTCCAGTGACAAGACATGATGGCCCAGGGCTATAGAAAAGCCAAACAAACCCATGCTTTGAGCTGAGTTATGTCTGTCTGCTGGTCAGACAGTTGCTCTTTATGGTCTGAATAAGAGGGCACAGTGACAGAGGAAATGCTGAGTCCAAAGGAGAGCTGCAGCTTCTGGGAGACAGCACATCTGTTAAAAGCAGGAGCAGTGACGTGGTTCGCGCTCAGTGTCTGGAGGAGAGTACAGCAACCTAAAATTGGTTTCTGGTGAGCCATTCTTACAGCAGCAAAAATGCAGTTCAGGTAAAGTAAACTCTGAGACTGTGCTGACCATCACCAGAAAAAATTATATTGTCAGAAGATATTTGCTCAGTGAGAGCTTACTACTTTTTGTCAGTGGGACGACAAAAATATCTTGGATAGTTGTGTATGTGTGTCACCAAACCACCCATGGCCAAAGCCCTTACAACCTGTCCCTCTGGAAGGGTTATTTTGTCACTGGAGTGTATGTGGCTGTTGGGTCTCAGGGAGATCCATCTCCTGGTGCTTTGAGGAATTTGGGCAACCAAATCATGTGTCTCACCAGCCCTATAGTCAAGAATTTCCTCCTAACACCTAATCTAGACCTGTCCTCTTTAGTTTAAAAACATTCCTTCTTATTCTGTCACTGTCATCCCATGTAAAAAGTCAATAACCATATTTTTATAAGCTCCCTTTAAGTATTTTACTTTTCAGTGTAAAATATAGGTAGGTCAAGAGAAGATCAGGCTAAGCTGTCTGTTTGCATATATTAGTGACATTAAGATATTTTCAGGCGTGTTTTTAGGAGGTGATGTGAATGAAGTGAGGTTGTCTATGAAGGTGTTTAGTTAAATTATCCAGTAATTGAACTCATTGGCCATGTTTTGCTCAAATTTGACTGCTGGCCAATAGACACAACCTGTTTCTGTAAATGGTAGATTAGGTAGAGGAGTGATTTTTGAATTAACATCCTCACAAGCACTGTGATCTCATTAGGTACCTGAGAGTCCATTTCTGGAAGCGGGAGGAAAGAGGAAAAGGTGTCAGAAATTGCCCAGCAGTAATGAAATCCTTAATTCAAGTGCCTGTGGGGCTTCTCCTAAGTCTAATAAGTTAGAGAGTCAAACTTTGCTCCACGTGGGAGTTTTCTACTAATCACAGCCCAGGAAAGGATGCACTGCCAGCTCGAGATAAGCATGATAAGCAGAGGATGAGGTTTGAGAGCTAATTCCCATGTATCTGTCTTTTCCCATCGAGGCTAAGGGTTCATGCAAGGAGGTGCATCCATCTGTGCCAGACTTTACAAACACACTCTCTCACCCTGCAAGTTTTACTGCCAAGTTGTTCTACCTTAAATCACTTGCAAGTAGGGTTTGAACTGTAATTCATGTTGGGTTCTGGCAAAAACCGGGAATAAAGATGTAAGAAGTGGAGTGATTTGGTTCCTGAGAGAAAAAGCGGGGGGGGGGGGGGGGGGGAAGGAGAGGGAGGGCAGTTTGCAGCCACATGGCAGTTTCACTGTGTGGGAAAAATGTCTTCCTAACTCTAAATAGCAAAATTGCAAAATCCTTGAGCATTTCAGGGAGATCAGTCATAGCAAAAAGCAACACAGGTGGCAGGGAAGGAAAATCTGAGGTTTTAGGAGCAAGGCAGGCAAAGCTGTTTGAGGGAGGGATATGTAGCATGAACCCCTGAATTCAAGAAGACAAGAACCCCCTGAATTTTTCAATCAGCAAGAAGAGACTAAAAACTTCAAGGGAATCTCCCAGCCCAGTGGGGCAGGAGAACCACACCATCCTTTTCCCATCCACCACACAGCCAAGTGAGGAGAAAAGTAATTGCTTTGGGTAGGAGGCACAATAAGACATGAAATACAAGCACGTCTTTTGTAGAATTTGCGGGCCATAAAAAGTATTTTAATGACATCTGGTGCAGGGGCGTGTTGAAGCTTAATTAATTAATCCTTGCAAAAGGACTCGGAAATTCTGGGATCAAAGGTGTTGCAGGAGTGCAAAATGCCATTATTATACCTATAAACGTGTGCTTGTTAAGTTAAATGCTGTTTATTTATGGCCCCTATATACTTGTACAGCAAGTATATATCAAGTATATTACAAACATTTTAAAAGTACACTTTTTTATCACATAAAACTGTCCCTGCCTCAGCTCCCTGCACAAGCTGTCAGGTGCTGCTTGTGTGGAATCTCAGAAACACGTAATTGAGTCTGATAATGCCTCTGTCTTTTTGGTTGAGTATTTTTTTTTGGGGGGGGGGGTGTTGTTTGTTTGTTTTTTTCTGGTGTTTCCACTCTGGAATATTGACATGGATGTTGCTACACAAGAAGCAGAGATTATGCACAGCGATCCATAGCCATGACTGGAAAATTAACTTCAGGGTTGGTTTCAGCTTGGTACGTGGTTGCAGCTTTCTCTTTCCTCTCTTCTCCTTTCTGTTCGTAGAATCTTTAAGGTTGGAAAAGACCTGCAAGATCTTCGAGTCCAACCTCTGACCCACCAACCCCCTGCCCACTAAGCCATGTCACAAAGTGCCACGTGTGCTTGACTTTTGAACGCTTCCAGGGATGGTGGTTACACCTTTTCCAAAGCTTAACCACTCTTTTAATGAAGAAGTTTTTCCCATTATCCAACCTGAACCTCCCCTGGCACAACTCGAGACCGTTCTCCCTTGTTCTATCCTATATTCTAGTATCTGTCCTACACAGTAAAAAAGTATTACATCTAAGTGTGTCTTTTCCATGCATAATTTGACTAAATTCACCGAATTGAGGTCTCCCACCCACCTAGAATTGTTGGTTTGTTTGGTTTGGCTTTGTAGCCATTTATAAATAATAGAAATAATATAAAGAAATCAGAATAAATGCTGTGTTCCCACTAATTCAAAATTTAACATTGGAGATTTTTTACAAATCAAAGGAGCAAAACATGTGCATCCTCAGCAATCAGTTAGAATGCAGGAACCTTTTTTTCCTCCTTTATTGGAGTATATATTAAAAGTATTTTTTCCCTAAGATTTATTTCAGCTTTTGTTAAATGCTTTGCTTTACAGCTTCCCATAGTTATATGGAATCTTCTGGCTTATACCAGAAAAAAAGTTTAGAAATGCACTCCCTTTGATTCATAACAACATTATTTACACTAAATTTGTAAATTCTCTGCAGATGACAATAGCATCTTTGTAGGTCTTTTAAAATATAAATGAAATATGAGTTTTCTTTCAAGGTACAAAATGTCATTAAGGGCTCAGGTGGTTAAAATCAACATGAAAAATACATGCTGCATTTTCCCTCCTTAGATGCAATAATGTAATCAGATTTCAAGTCATCTTACCTACCTCACTTACAGCTTTATGGAGATTAATTAGTTTTTAGCCCCCAGTCACATGATCTTTTCTGACTGCCATTTAGCTACATTTGCTATCTGACTTGAACCTGTAAGCTGTCTCCAGCCCCAGAGGACAGATTAAATTTTAGTATTGGTTGCCCTCTTCCTTTGATTTAAAGGTAGATAGTTAGAGCCATAGTTCAATTATTCTTTGTTGTTAATTAGCCATGTGTTGTCATCGTTTCTTTGGGAAAAGCACGTGTTTGAAGAAGGAGAAGAAAAATGGCTCAAAGTAGGAAAAAACTTTCATGTGCTTGAGCTGAAAAGATTTTTTTCCTGATCAGGTGCAGAGCCATAAAACTGCTTTTAATTCCCATCTATATCACCTCTCTCTGCTCTGTGTATGCCTGGCTTTTATGCACTGCTAATCGATGAGGTTACCTTCTCATTTCTGTAAAACGAGCTCCTCAGAAAAGGAGGAGAGGAAATATTTCAGTTCCCTTCCTCAAGCAGAAGGGAGGGGAGTTTGTGTGCGTGGCTGTGACTTGGCTTTTGTTTTCTAAATTTTCTCTTTAAATTAACTTGAGCACTTCTTCTATAATGTGATTTTATGTAAAGGGAATGTTTTATTCCTTGTTGAGAATGATTTCCAAGGCCATTTAATATCCAGATAAATTCCCTTCTCTTTTCCTAAGTGTATTAAAGACGATAAACATAGATTGGATAAAACAATGTGTAGACAAAATCCTGCCCTTAATTCTGGGTATCCTGTTTATTTCAGGGAAATCTTCCTTTCTCAAGTAAGAAAAGTACATTTTGGCCCATACTCTGCAAAGACCAAAAAACCAGATAAGCTCTGGGGGAAAAATAGAAGGATTTTTTTTCTTCTCTTCTTTTTTTTTTTTTTTTTTTTTTTTTTTCTGTTTGTGATTAAAAATAAAGAAGTAAATAATAAAGGGATTTGACTAGATGCTTAGGATGGTGTATAACTAGGCTCCTCAGCAGCATATAACAAAAGATCAGAGGGATCTCTGGTTCATATAAGCAAAGCAGTTCTCAGACTAAAGGCTGTGTGGTTTTTCCTTAGGTGAGAGCTGGAAGAGGGTTAAGATAATGGAAGCGTTATCTATTACACGTCGAGAAAACATCAGAGCCAAACCCATCGAAGCCTTTATATGGACATTGCATGTGGCTGCCTGTTTGCCATTTGTTTCCTAAATTTCCCCTAATTTGCTGTGCAGCAAACATTCACCTTGGTTAATAGGGCTCAGCTCAGCAATATCCAGCAGAACCGCGGCGTTTCCTGGCTCCGGCCACGGAGGCTCTGCAGGATTTTCGCTGCTCAGGTGTTGCAAAGCCTAATCCTTATTCAGGAACCAAAATGATCCACTTTCCTTGCCTGCGGTGCTTGGATCCCTGCCTTTGGCAGTAGCCCCAGACTCCTGCAGAAGATGAAGACATCCCTCCATGCCTATAGATGGAAAGGCGCCAACATGGATGCCATCAGAAGGACGCAGCTGAGCATATGCTGAGAAAATTGTGGCATCCATACTGTACATGGGGAAGGGCTGACTGAACACACCAGTTTGTTGAAGCTTATGGCCCTGAAAAGGAAACATAGGTTTCCTGTAAATGTCATTCAGGGATATGCTAACTGTTATTTCCTGGCGCTGGATCATGATGCTTTCAACACATTCTGTTCATCTACCTCTGCTGCCTGCCTGCCTGGCTGTGCACAGCGATAGCTCTCCTGTCTTCTCACCTTTCCCTCCTCCCTGTGCAAGGCTAAGGTAAGAGAGACTCAGGCAAAGGGGAAAAAAAAAAATGACTTGAGGATGGAGCACCAAAGGAAAAAAAAAATAAAAAGGGCTGGTTCGGTGTTGCGTGCCTTCCCCTCGTTGCCAGCGTAGCAGGACAAGTGCCTAACCAGTGTGTTTGGGCTCCATCACTTTGACTCCATTATGAGGGAACTGGTCCCCTGGTGCCACTCTGCCATGGCATTTCATTTGTACAGATTGCTTTCAGCCTTAGTGCCCACACCAGGGCTGCTCTGCCGTGGAGTCTTAAAGGTTTCCCTAAGTACCTCCTACAACAACACGAGTTGTCTCTCTGGCTGTGTGCATTCCTCACCTCCCTCCTTCCCTCCAGCCTTCAGGTGCTGTGTTTTGGGGTGGAAGTGTCAAGCAAGCAGGATGGTGCATCAAGGAGAGGCAGAGTCAGGCAGTGCTGCTGCGTCTGTGCGTGAGCGACGGCGGCTCAGCATCACCGCCCACCTTCAAGTGGTACCTGGGCCTGGCTGCACCTCCCTCCAGTGCACAGCAATCAAAGGAGAACAGGTAAACACTTACATTTGCATCAGTGAAGGCTCCGAGGGCATTGTTCCAAGCCAGGAGCATAGACCCTGAGCCTTTGTTCTGGTGCTAAAGGGGATATGTTATCTCTATTCCAGCTCCGCGCTGTATTACCCGTCCATGAAAAGCAAGTTTCTCTGTCTAGTGAATAAGGATCATTGTTTCGGGGATAATGAGGCTCCACTCCCTTTTGGCTCCTTCTGAAAGACCAGAGCCCTGGCTAGGGAATGGTGCCACGGGCCCGCCAAGTGTCTGCTGAAAGCAGTGGGGACAGGGGCGATTTTCACAGTTATCATTAAATGACATGTGAGGGTTTTGTGCATCATGTTCTACTGTATCAACCCACCATAAACAAGCAACTGGCTACAGGGCTGTAACCTCCTACCATCCACCCTTTGCCATCAGACCCTTGTGTTTGCTGGGTTAGATTTCCACCCCATCTCTTTGCACAAGTCAAGAAAAGTGAAAACGTTTCCATACTTTATTTCTATATTTTCAAATTTCTCAAAATTCTATGTTCATGCAAATAAAAACAGGTCACAAAAATAGATTAAGGTTGAGTACAGGTGTGCCAGTCTGTGTTGCACCACTGTCATAAGTAAAGCTTTAATTAACATGGTAAGGAAATCATGATAATATAAAACTAAGTAGGTGCTCAAATCATATCAGGACAATCTGGAAAACTGTGCTCAAAGCTCCAGGTGAAATCCAGTGAAGTTGTAGAGTCTTTGGAACTTTGACATATCTTTTCAACTGTTGAAGTATGAATAGAAGTACTTTTACTTAGGGCTGTCTGTGTTTGGGAAGCTCAGACCCAAGTGTCTCATGTCACATTCAGTCAGACTAAGGAAGCAAGAATGGTCTTTTTATCATTATTAATTTTAAGAGTTGTTTTTGTAAGCAAAAGAGAAATCACAGGTTTTGTAAGAGAGAGCCATTTACATTTGAGATGATAGAAAGTGTGACTTGCCAAAATGCTGCAGTTAAGACCCACTTAGTGGCCAGGAAGGAGGTGGGGAGCAAGGAGAACCCTCCTTGGGTTGATGGTGGTTCTCTGGATCAAAGAGGGAAAATATGGGAAATGCATGAAAAAGATACAGTTAAAGAAAGCATTAGCAATACTGATTCCTGTGGAGAACATAAGCCCAGGAGATGCCAAGGGTTTGCTGGGTTCTGGTGGCTCATCAGTGGCCATCTCCAGGGGTTCACGACCCCACTGATTGTATCCCCTGACTGGTGGTGGAACTTGGTTTACCCAGTTCTGGGTTGTCTTGGCCACCCTTCTGTTTTTTCCATGGAGGGTTTCAGGACAGATGCTCAGCATTTTCTGAAAATTGTTCCTCTTAGCAGGGTTCCATTTCTCCAGCTGTCAGGAATGCAAACAAATTGCAACAAATAGGTGAAAAGCCAAACAGCATTTAAACCAAACAGGTCTTCTTTACAACTTGCTCTGAGTGTGACCAGGTTTATTTGGAGTGGAAACATCTCTGAGGCAAGTGGGATGCTTAACACAAGGGAGCCAAAAGTACCTTTACCATTGCCTCTTCCAGCCATTCCCAGATGCAGAAAGAGCCACAGTATTCCCTGTGTTTCCCTCTGGGAATGATTGCTCATGTGGGATGCATTATTTGATACCTGTTATTTACTAATGCAGCTGAACTAAGAACCAAGGCACTACTGGACCCAGTTCACGGATATTTATTGCACCAAATCCAATCTATAATACAGTGTCAGCCTTGTACCAAAGCAGGAGACAGTAGTATTTATGATTATTAGTACAATATTGAATCATCCTGAACCAATTACTGGTCCAATTACTGTGTCATTATTATCTTCTGAATAGGGCTTGATTTGTCTGTGATAAATATGATGCAATTAAACTACCTTTTTACATAATAAAACACTGCAGGTGTTTATTCTTAAGGGTTTACGGATACCAACAACCAATAGATTTAATTAAAAAAATCCTTGAAATAAATGTGAATTTCATTAAATTGTTCCAGCATCGGTGAATATTTTAAGACTATCTACCAAAAGATTCTCTCTCTATAATCTCTCTTAAAAGCTGTGCTAAGTGCACAAAAACAATGACTTCAGCTTTTTAGTGTTTCAATAATTAATAGCATTTCTTTAAAGAACGTGTAATTGGTCTGTAATAGTATAACTTAAGAAACAAAAAAGTTATGTGGGTCAGATTGCTATTACCACTGTGTCAGTGTGAGGGATAAATGTATGCTGGCTTAATGAAAAATCTTATTAAATTCAAATTTTCTGCTCAATAATTTTAAATTCAGTCTTACATTTTTAGCACTACAGCCATAAACACAGTATTGACTTCACTCTCGTCTGGTACTTGCAGTAGGTGCAGAGCTGCGTCGTGCTGGCTTTGGGTTATAAAAAGAACAGATCACTAAATGTGAAATCCTACCTGGAATTATTTTGTCTCTCAATACTAAGGATGAATAGCTATAGCTTTAGCTATAAACCAGCCTAAGTCAATGCGGTGTAAGTGTGTATAAAACTATTGCTGAGTGGGTTTATCCTGATTTTCAGACAGGAGAGTTCCCTTTCCCAGCTTTATTGTTGGACAGACCTGTGGTGCAGGGTCCAAATGCATGGTTTGGATTCCAGTGCTGCCTTTCTCCATCCTCCTTCCCACCCCTGTGTTCAGTACTTGTAACTGTGTGCTCTATTTGGGTTTGCTTTTTCCTTTTTCTCTGTGGATTGTGGTAGTACAGGATGTCAGGAGAAAGAGTCTTCTGGAGACAGGCCAGATGTTTGGAAATGGAAGTTTTCCTTGTGTTGGGGCAGAAAAGGCTCGAGGTTTTTCAAACAGCACATCCAGCTAAACCCAGGACATGTAGGAGCTCCTAGTCCAGTCTCACAAACACAGTTAGGAAGGGATAAGGAGAGTTCAGCAGGAAATCCAGAGGCATGGTGATGCTGACTGCCACCAAACTGGGGTCATGGACCCCTGGCTCTGCAGCAGAGAAGCTCCCAGGGCTCCAGGGTCACCAACTGCTCCAAAATAACACATGAATTTTGCAGATTTGCTTTTATATCTAAATCATATTTGATCATGAGCAGTTAGATCCCTTTATATACACTTCCAGCTACCTGTATTCTTTCAACTGAATGCACTGCAGTGAGTGCTGTGAGATGCTTTAGCACAGGATCTCTCCTGACTAATCCTTAACAGGAGCTGTTATGGCTGTGTGAAACAGCATTTCTCCACAGCTCCTGCTGGCAGCAGGGCAGGATGAACACCCCAGCTTCCCACCCTGCACCCGTGGGATTCGCCTCTGTGCCTCCACAGCTTCGCCCGTTCCCTCCCATCCATCTTCCCTGCAGCGCAGGCCAGGCTGAATGATAAAACAAAGCTTTTTCAAAAGGTTTATTAAGCAAGATGTAAGGTCAGGCTTTTAGTTGGAAGGCTGGAAATGAAAGGTTACAAGCAAAACAAATACAAACACAATCCCAGCCTAAGCTTAAACAACTGGATTCCTTTTCAATTGCTTGGTCTGGTTTCTCAGATCCTGAAGACATACTGCAGCTGTTGGGACTTGAAGCATCCTAACTTCTGCTCTAAACCCTGATCCTACAGTCAGGCACAGGCAGCTTGGCTTGCTTCCTCCTTGTCCTCCTCTTGCTGTTGCTCTCAGGGCACATTGACGCTCTTTTGGGTTGAGACAAGACCTATTTTTTGGTGGAATGACCCTTCTGTAGAAACAGCTCATCAGCAGTGTGTGTTTCCTCCTCCTACCCCTCACCTGTTTGGTCAGCACCAGAGCAGATCTGGGTCTTGGATACCAGATCTGGGTGCTCCCACCTTGGCTTTGAGATGTTCACAAAGGCCTTAGGGGATTCTGATGCTTTCAGTCCCACTTCTACCCCTTACTGCAATCTCAGAGGCTGCCTGCTGACCATCCTCACGTATCCTTGCTTTCCAACCCCCTTAGGGGTTTTGACACCAAAACCAGGAGAGAGAATAAAATTTATTTACATTTTCAACTTGTTTGCAAACTAAAATCAAGACTGACCAGGGCAGAAACTCGTGATTATAGGAGTGACTGAACAGCCCAGGTCAGCTTTGTGCCCAGTTAGAGATGTTGCTCTCTCCTGGATGATGGTGCTCTGATTTAAATTAGTCCTGCATGGATCAATAAGCACTGAAACAGAAACACATGGAAAAGGAGAGCTAAATTATGGGGGGAAAAAAATAAATAACCCCTCAATGGAATGACAGTCTAATGGAAGCATCTTGGACAGCTAATTCTGTTAATTATTCCAAAGCAGCCAAAACATTTGGGTTTCTAATGCAGCCTCTCTGCCATCAGAAGCACAGGTCCATATTGGAGTTCAGCACCAGTTTTTGAGGTCTTTATCCCTGGAATGCCATGTGTCTGCCATACAGCACCAGGCAGCATAGCAGGCCTCAAGTACAAAAAAAGTACCAATGGATGGATAATTGCCCACCCTGTAAAAATTTACTGGGAACCTGATACTTGTATCACTTGTCACAAACAGCTCCATGGTGTAATAATATAGGAAGTATCACTGGTGCTATAAAAAAGAAAGTGATGGTGTAAATTGCGCTTCTCTTTCTGCTGAATGGTGCTAAATAGCAGGGAGTTCCCATTTTTTTATTGCCAGGATTTCGATAATTGTAGATGTTCATTTGCAGGGATCAATTGATAATTTGGAACACATGCCATCAATATTTCATCTTCTCTATATTTTTAAATGAAAGGAAGAAGCCCAATTTCACAGTGGTAAGATTAAAAAAAGGAATCTCATTTTGTTTTCCTGTCTGCTGTTAAGGAAGAAAGCTCATTTCTTGCGGCATAAAGGGATATTAATGAATGCAAAGAGCATTTTCCATATTGCAGAATAAAATTTACTGTTCTAACCAAAGATATTTTATATAAATTAAGAGTTTGTTTAAAAAAAATCGAAAATGGGAACTCAATTCTAGACAATGCTTAATTTAAACTAAGTGTTAAAATAAAAGCAATAACACTGAGAATAAATTAATGAACTACAATTAACTATATTTACAATAAGTGGTTTGGTTGGAAACACCTATTCCCTGCACTGATAAAATAAAACCTGCATTCTGCAAAAGCTGAAATAAGTTAAATGAAGATGCTTTTAACAAGGTTATTACTTAAGCAGTGACAGGTTTACAGATTTTAGCACCATTGGGTTTTCACAGGAGCTACAGCAAGTGCTAAAATAACACACACCTTCAGGTTCATTAAATTCACCCGTGTGATGAAATAACTGATATTTTTCTATATTACTATAGTGCCTCAAAGAACTGCCTATAAATAAGATACACTAATAACAACTGTTTGCAGTACTAAAACAATAAAATAATTCTTCCAGGCTTATATGCAAAGGAAGAAATAAGTGTAAGGCAGACTCTTAGCAGAGTTATATCTGGTGGCTTTTATTCTACTGGTTCCATGCCTTCAGCCATTTACTTATCACAGAAATGCCCTGTAAAATGTTTTATCACTCACTGTGGCAGGGAGAAATTTGTTTAAAGGCTACATGAAGAAGGGGCTCCCATCCCGAAATACTCTCTAATCTGGTGATTACTGGAGCATTTCTGAAGACCAGCTTATGCGAAGAACTGATTTTTAAAAAGGAGCATTTCAGATGACAGTAAATCCCACATTATACCCTGTTTTGGAAAGAACCAATGCTGGGAAAAAAAAAAAAAAAAAAAAAAAAGCAGCAGATTTCTAATAAATCAATGGAGGCTGGCCTTTGGAGACCTGGGAGGCATATGGACAGTAATAGAGTATCTCAGGTTGTTCCGTGAACGATTCCATCTGGATGAGGGCTCAGTGTTATTCGCAGCCTCATTCTCCCCTGAAACACCTTCAATCTTCCCCTCAGCCCCTGTCTCAAATGTCAGACCACCTGGGATCTGCAGCTGTCGGGCTGAAAGCGGAGCTGGGAGCCACCGGCAGCCACAGCCCCGCTGCCATGGGGTGGGAACCAGGGAAGTTTGGGCTCTGGGGCTTGCACCAGGTGTGGCATCGAGCACCTCCTTCCCTTTTATGCAAATATGTGATTTTAATACTTTTTACATATAATGTCCTACTGTGGATAGGACAAAAGGGAATGGCTTTAAGGTGGAGGTCAGGTTTAGATTAGAGATTAGGAAGAAATTTGTTGCTCAGAGGGTAGTGAGGCCATGGCACAGGTTACCCAGAGAAGCTGTGGCTGCCTCATACCTAGAAGTCTCCAAGGCCAGGTTGGACGGGGCTTGGAGCAACCTGGGATAGTGGAAGGTGTCCCTGCCTGTGGCAGGAGGTAGAACTGGATGAGCTTTAAGGTCCCTTTCAGTGCAAACTGTTCTGTGATTCTGTGATTTTGTGTATGTGTGTACACATGTGCGTAAACATATCTTTGCATGCCTAAACAGTTGGAATAACTGTTTCCAGTGCCTGGTTTTGGTCTTCATGGGGGTACTGTTGTCTCCATGCTGATGGAGAGGTAAAGCAGAAGTCACTCTGTTGCAGTGGGCTGTAAAACCCGCGTAAATGGGGTTAACCAGCCCCAGGATGGCACAGGCTTGCTTACATTTTGCAGTGCTATGTCTTTCCTCTGAGTGATTTTCAATTTTTTTCCTCTGGTAGTATCACAGAAACACAGAATGGTTTTTGGTTGGATGAGTCCTTAAAGAGCATCTAGTCCCAGCCCCCCTGCCATGGGCAGGGGCACTTTCCACTATCCCGGGTTGCTCCAAGCCCTGTTCAACTTGACTTTGAACAAAAAAACCTGTAAATATGGTGTTTGGGTACATGAGTTAGTGATGGGCTTGGCAGTGCTGGATTAACAGTTGGAGTTGATGATCTTAGAGGGCTTTTCCAGCTTTAATGATTCTGTGATTCTGTGAACTGTGAGCTGCTGTTTTGCTCACCCCACGGAGATGAGTGTGCAGCCCACCGTGCTCCAGAGGCACTGCTGAGGGAAGGAACTGCTGGATGCACATCACAGGTAAGTGAGACATGAAGAGCACGTTGCACCTGGGCAAAAGCCTTTTAATTTCTCTACATAGTCCATATACCCTTTGTAGTATCTCTCTGAGAAGAGCAAAATGACCATTTTATGGGTGAATATGCAGAGCCACGGTGATATCGAATGACTTCTTAGGCCTTGGGCACAGAAGGGTTGTGAACGGCCCATAAATGAAAAAGATGTTTTTCATCAGAAGTTCTTTGTCTCAGAAGTTCCCCTCCCACCTGGAATTTATCCAGCCCTCACTGACCGATCTTTTGAGGAAAATGCTGGAGTTGCTAATCCATTTATGTCTTTTGTAAGCCGCGTGAAACTTCGGGAGTGAGTTGGGTTTGAGTGCCGGGTGGTTGTTAATAATTCATGCTTCATGTGAAAAGAAAATTGATCAGAAGCATCCTGGAGAGACCAATCTATGCTGCCTCTGTGATCAGCTGAGACACAAACCAAATGGAAGGAACGACTGGAAAGATATCACTGAGAAAAGCTGCGCAGACCCATCCCAAGCCAAGCGGTGTGGAAGGAGAGGGGTGTCAAAGGGAAGAGCAGCACGGGGTCCTTTGAAGCCTGGTCACGGAGATAAGGATGTGGGAAAAGATCCTGCAGCAAAAAGTGGTCAAAAGTTCTTAAGAGGAGGACGAGAGCAGCTCCGTTTCCTGAAGGCAGCACTCCAGATCAAAGAGTCCTTTGTGGAAATGTTCAAAACCAACCCAAACCACCTCATCCTGGGTTAAAGATGAGCTCCAGTACCTGGGGCTGGATGGGAGGTCAGAGGAGGAGCACTGGGGGATGTCTGCAGATGCTGAGGCTGTGCTGAAGCTGTGAGATGGACCTGTTGTGTCAAAGGTAAGAGTTTATATTTTCTCCTGAAAAAGAAAAGTGTTCAGAAAATAATCCCAAATGGGCTTTGAGGAGTGTTTGCTGAGCTTTAATTTCATCCTGGATACACTGATTTATCCTTTGTTTCTCTTTGCTGTTCTTGTGTTTGAAGTAACTTCTATTCCATTAGAACTCACAGAGATCTGACCCAGAAATACAAGAATTTCACAGTATCTGAGGAAATGTGCTGAAGGAAGGTTTTCTGGAGCTTTTCAGATGGGAAAGGGCCCTCCTGCCCATTTGCTCACCACAGAGGGAGCCCAGGCTGGTGTGAAGGAGGTTGTGCAGAGGTCACTGCTCTTTCTAGAAGTTTCTGTTTCAAGGTATGTCCTTGGTTTGGATGGAGAAGCCATCAGAGCCTGGGAGAACTTTTTCTGAGGTATTTTTTACTCCTTGTTTTAATTGCTACACCTGAATAAGCACGTGAATTAATGCTGTGTATGCATCTTGTCTTTGCAAGTGGGAGCTGTAGATATTTGGAAGTACATATTTATGTGTAGTTATCAGTCTTCATACCCTACTTGTTAATGTAATTGTGTCACCTAAATTCTGTCATATTTGGCTCAGGAGAGATTCTTTAACTGTTCCTACTAACTGGGAGTATAAGAACCTATTTCAGTGAGGTAAATCCCTTGATTTCCCAGGTTCTTTCACCATTCTTGCTTGGAAATAATGGGAAATGCTTATAGAAAAATGATATTTCTGACACTGAAAAATACAGTAAATTAATATGGAAAACTGAGGCACAATAACTGAATTATATGTTTGTACAAATTATTTTCTATGTTGTAAAATAATAGAATCCCAGAATGGTCTGGGCTGGAATGGACCTTAAAGATCATCTTATTCCAAGCCCTGCCATGGGCAGGGACACCTTCCACTAGCCCAGGTTGCTCCAACCTGACCTTGAACACTTCCAGGGATCCAGGGGCAGCCACAGCTTCTCTGGGCAACCTGTGCCAGGGCCTGCCCACCCTCACAGGCAAGAATTCAACAGTGGCAGATCAGGCCCAAAAACTTTGCTGCTCTGCTCATTCGCACACAGTGGTTTGACACAAAACAAGTCAGTTGTTTACACCCTACAAACATTATACGTCAACCACAAAGGAATTGTTTTGCTCTGACCCCACCTGTGAAGCCCTGATATGGGTCACTGCACCCCGTGTTTGTCTCTGTCCCCTGATGTTGGACCACAGGGAGCAAACACAGCCCGAGGGCAGGTGACTTGTCAGGGCAATGAACTGTCACCACGGGCTGTCGGTCCTTGGCCGCTCCGGGGAGATACTGGACAGGGTGCCAAGATTAAAGCTGTTTCTAATGATTTGCCACTTTGCTGTTGAGAACTGATGTAGGAGTGGGAAAATGTCTGCTTTGGCCAACCAGTAATCGGTGCTTGAAGGCAATAAGCACCAAACTACTTTTTGGCCACTGTTGGTTCATTTCCTGTAAATTCCAAGGGGGTTCTATTATGGGGTTTTTCCCTTTTTATTTTAATTTATTTTATTTTTCCTTTGCAGGTTCAGTGTTTTCTGCAACCTGGTTTCCACAGCCTGGTTTAGAAAAGGCCTCTGCTCTGTGTGCATACATGAAAAGTGGGAGTATGACAAGCAGAGTCAAGGTTTGTAATTATAAAATCCTAGAATGTTTTGGGTTGGGAGGGACCTTAAAGATCATCTCATCCCACCCCCTGCCATGGTCAGGGACACCTTCCACTAGCCCAGGTTGCTCCAAGCCTTGTCCAACCTGGCCTTGGACACTTCAAGGGATGGGGCAGCAACAGCTTTTCTGGGCAACCTGTGCCAGGGCCTCCCCACCCTCACAGGGAAGAATTTCTCCCTAATCCAACCCTGCTCTGTGTCAGTGAGGTATTTTTTCCTTTGCAACTTTTGCTAAGTCTCCTGGAGTTTTTACTCACAGTTTAAACTGTGCATCATTGAATCCCGGAAAAACATGCAGAGGTCTTCTCCATTTCCTGGTTTGATTTATTGTTTCTGTGAAGGTTTATCGCATCTCCAGACATTTCAATATTCTTCAGGAAGGGAATGCTGGACCCCAGATGAGAGTCTGGTGGTTTCTGCGGTGGCTTTGCACGAGTTGTCTGGACAAAAGGACAAAGTTTCCCAGGCGACAATTTGTGGCATGAAGGTTTGAGTGAGAGGAACTGCACTTTCCGTTGCATCACTCACGTTTCAAGCCCGAGCTTTCACACATCCCATAAGCTGCTTCGAGCCCGTGCAGTTCACAAAGTGAGGGGAAAAAAAAAGGAATTGAAGAAGCAAAAATAAATATTAAAGCACGTAAGAATTAAATATCACCTATTCAAATGGCAATTATGCTGTTGAAAACAAGATCACCACACCTGTACAAGAAAAGACAACCAAGCCCACAACATCTGTTTGGATCCACCTGCCAAGCACCTGTTCGGCTGTTTCAATGCCATTTGATTGCTGGAGATGTAGAGGCTCTTGTGAGGTAATGAGTGATTTTACATTATGCATGATTGAAAACAGGTGTTCTAATGCTGTACAATTCTATGCATGAATAATTCAGTTTGTTTAGAGCAAGATCTTTAAAAGAAGTATGGTCTTTTTTTTTTTTTTTTTTTATAAATATTAAGGTTATTCTCTGCAATGTATGGTGGCTGGTCTTTTCAGCAGGCTCGCTGATGACCATTTTTGTGTAATTTTATGGGTAGGAAATAACACTGTGAAAGGTAAAAAAAAAATAATTATACCTAAAGCACATAAGCAATGGAATTGAAAGGTTTCTTTAGCAAGGAGGGGGAAAAAAAAAACCTGTCACTGTTCTAAGGGAGAAAGCCAGATGACTTTTGGCAAAGCTTGCTTCTCAACACTAACAAAACAGCCCAAGAGCTTAATTATAGAGAGGGGTGAATGTGCCTCGGGGATAAGTAAGTAGCTAGTCCATCTCTTGGTCCGAATTCCAGCTGAGTCTGAATACGTTTAAGAGTTTGGGTTGGTTTTTTTTCTCTCTCTTTTCCCTCATGATTATGAAAGGGTTTCTTGCATAGTTGTGTGCTTTGTGCTGATGGAAGATGCTGCAGACTCAGGTCTTTATCTGCAGACCAGTTTCCATGCTGGGATCTGCATTGTGAATCAGCCCACGCTCCTCACCACTGGAGAATTCATGCTTGGGATCGTCTCCCAAAGATGAGGAAGATGTGGAAGTCAAACTGAGGGATGCAGCATCCCCTCTGCCTCTTCCCAAGGTAAGCAATGCAGCTGCCAGGGCTTCAGCCCGGAGGGTTTTGAGCTGGGGGCGAGATGAACTTAAGCAGCCAAAGGTTTTCCTGCCACAGCATATGTTGGTTTCTCCTTGCTCCCTCAGCTAGACATGGAATTTAGTTTAGCAACAAGGTTTGTAAATAGTAAATTAGTAAATCAGTCCATTGTGGTGTCAGGTTTTATTATGGGAATGTTCTGTGGTGGACAATGTGAAATCTTGGTGAGGGTGAGGGGAGTGGAGAGAGTGAGAGTGAACAGAAGGATTCAAAACTTCCTGCCCATTGCTGTCGATGCAACGATGAAGTGGAAAAAAAAGGAAAAGAGAGGGAAGAAAATGAAGTTACTGCTTTGAAAGGAGGAGTGAACCAAGCTTTCCCAGACAGGTGGTGGATGCCTCATCCCTGGAAATACCCGAGGCCGGTTTGGACAGGGCTCTGAACAACCCAGTCTAGTTGAAGATGCTGATGGCAGAGAGGTTAGTCTAGATAACTTTTAAAGGTCCCTTCCAGCCCAAACTCTTCTGTGATTCTATGAAAGAGGCTGAAAGCAATTGCTAAAGCATTCTGCAGTTCCCTGTGCTAATTAAAAAATGTTCCATGGTGCTAGAACACCAATGCTACATTTCCTGATCTATAACCTCAACAGGTTTAGATCCATTGGCTGCAGAGACTGGTGTAATAAACTTTAACATTTTATGTGGGTTCAGGAAACATAAGGAGGAAAATTCAAGAATCCAAAGTAGTCAGGTATGACCCAGGGCTTCAGTAGGTAAACAGGGGTAGCTCAAACTCTGTGGCCCACACTGCTCAGGGAACATCAGATCAGGGGTCCTGCAGGGCTTAAAAGCAATGGCTTTGTGACCAAACCTGGCTAAACATGCAGACATTTAGGGGTTTAACTGAAGTGGGTCTGTAATCTTTCAGTATTTTATATACAGTAAGTTACAGGAGACTGTAAATTAGAGCTTCTAATACCCTATCTGTTCACACACTGACAAAGTATCTAAGGTAATCTGACCTGCTTCACAGACCATGAGAAAAAAAGCCTCATGTAAAGTGAAAAAGATGAATTACAGCATTTTACAGAGAGGTAGATGAATTTTTCTCAACTCAGATATTGGGTTAATTCCCAAGTCAGGCAAAAGAATGTTTCACCAGGCTTTACTTGAATAAAGTTGGGGAGGTTTAATAAATGCAGCCCTACAGGGCAAGGGATAAACTCTGCTCCCTGTCAGTGGAACCAGTGACCATGGCATCAGCAACATGGGTAGGAATCAAATGGAAGGGAATGAGGGAAGAGATCTCTGAGAGAAGACAAACAACAAGGACAAAATGTTGTAGGGAAAAAGTGGGGGTTTTACTTTCTTTGTTCTGAGGTGATAAGGAAGAAGAATATATCCTGGGACTCTGTGTCTGCAATAAGGAAAGCATTTTCTTTTCACTGGGAGTTATTTCCCCCTCTATTAACAAGAAAATAACTTAAATCTCATCATTATGTGACATAGGGAGGGCAATGAAAAAGGGTGATGTAGCACCTGTTGTAGTTGAAGATACCTGACCTCCTGAGGGTGAACTCTTTCCTCCTGCAGACGATGGAAAATCACAGGTCCCACTGAGCAGCTGGGAGAAAGCACATTTCTGCTCCTTCCTGACTCCTTCCCACTAGTTTGGAAGCCATGATAGCTCCTGAAGGCTTCCTTCAGGTTGGTGGAGAAATTTCCTGTGAAAACTCTCATTTTTCTCCCCCTTTCCCAGCAACAAAATGATTCATAAAACACCTTATCTGATTGTTTTAAAATTATTGTTAAGGGTTGCTTTCTGTTTTCTTCTTTAAATCCAGCACATGACTCTCCCAGAGACACATCCTGCTCTTATCTCTGTAGTGCCTTCTCAGCAGCAGTAAGAGAAGGTTCCAGTTGCTCCTCTACCACTTTTCTAACTACTTCCACTCCTTTTCTGGGTACTGAAATGACACACTTGTTCTTGCAGTTGAATCCTTCAATGGGGAAGGTGTCTACAGGTCATACTCTGTTGGGACCTGTGAACCAGGTCAGGTGCCTGCAATGAGGAAAGAAAGATTTGGTTTCTACCCTAACTCCTTTACAACATGGAGTCAGAAGGAAACAGAGTTTTCCAGAAACAAATCCCAAAGAAGATCTTCAGAGTTTCTCATTTGTAAGCATACCTGTGTGATCCAGGGCTGTTAGGAGGTTTCCAGATGAGGCATTGAAAGATAAATGTGAAGCTCACTGATATCTGTGTTGGGTATGAAAACATTTAGTTTCTGAAACCTTCTGATGGACTCAAATGGAAGTTGTTCCATAAACTGAAAGCATGTATTTACCTTTTCTATATACACCTCCTGTGATTTATTAGGTAACTGCTTCTTGTCATTGTTACCCTCTAACTTACTCCTCTTAGGTTTCGTTTCGAGAATTAACCAGGATTTGATAAATTATAGAATCAGGGAATTGTTTGCGTGGAAAGGGACCTTAAAGCTCATCCAGTCCCACCCCCTGTCATGGGCAGGGACACCTTCCACTAGACCAGGTTTCTCCAAGCCCTGTCCAACCTGGCCTTGAACACTTCTAGGGATGGAGCATTTACAGCTTCTCTGGGCAACCTGTGCCAGGGCCTCCCCACCCTCACAGGGTAGAATTTCTTCTTCATCTTTAATCTAAATCTACCCTTTTTCAACTCAAGACCTTCCCCCATGTCCTATCACTATGTGCCCTTATAAAAAGTCCCTCTCTAACCTTCTTGGAGGACCCCTTTAGTTACTGGAAGGCTGAGATGAACGTACAGGAAATTTTCTATTGCTTACTAGGAGATCTAATTCCCTGATGAATCCCTGAGATTCATCTCTGTTGGTGCAGCAGAAAGGACATAACAAGGTACCAGTAGTCCAGTTTCCTAAAGCAGTAGTGCAGTCCTCCTAACTCACAGCTAAAATCCTGTTGAAACTGTCAAGTGTTGTTTCCACCTCTTTAATTTTGCTCTCAAACAAAACCCTTCGCTTCTTTTGTATGCAGAGGCTGCTGTGGCCTGGATCTCATCTTGTCTTCTAGTAACATCTTCCAGATTTGTTTTAAACTGATTAGACACTGCTGAAGAATCAGCTTCTCTCCCCCGGACAGTACAAAGCCAAGTGTTGACAGAGCTGGCTCCTGGCCACGGGCCGCGTGGTGACGCAGCATCGCATCTCCTGACAGCCCCGATTTCGTTTGGGGCAATCTGAAGCATTCACGCACCCTGGCAAATTAAAATAAAATAAATTGCAGACTGACAGGAGGCTGGAATTAAAAAAAAAAAAAAAAAAAAGAAGTGAAGAAGTGTCAGCTTGACCAGAGAGTTGCTTTAATTAAAGGATTTATTCTGTACGCTGGGGCAAGGAATCTGAAAGGTATTTCTGGCCTTCTGATGTAGTTGCAGTTTCTCTCTGATTTTTGATTTTGAGAAACAGAAAATTACCCATTTTATTGGGCTACGGAGAGAAATTATGGGGAATGAGCCGAGTGACTTTAAAGTTCTCTCAGTAGGAGTAGAAAAGGAGGGAAATGCTTGTACTTCCTTAACTAAATTGCTTCCAGTGCAGTTTAGACACAGGAGCACTGGTTTCTGGGTCCCATCAGAGCACAGGGATATATTTAAGTCACTAGGATCATATATATTGCCACCATCTAGATTCTTTTTTGGGTGGAAATCACCCTCCTTTTACGTGTGAGGAGGAAATACGGAAGGTCACAGTAGCAAACACTATTTCTGAGATTCATTTGTCCCTAAAGGTTAATAAAGCTCATCAAGAAATACATTGAAATGAGGCAAAGTTAGCTCTAACATTTGAGTCTTCCCATCACAGTGTCCTAAGAGATGTCCTGTGGTTTGACACATAATTAATATGTTTATTTATCTTAGCTTGCTTTTTTAACATCCATCACCATATTAGCCAAATATAAACATTTCATCCTGTTTCGTAAAGAACCCAGGGTCCATTTTATTGCAACAGTTACTTTCCCAGCTCCCACCAGTGACATGGAGTAGATTCCTGCAAAAAAAAAAAAACAAAACAACAAAAAACCCACCCCAAATCTCTGCAATTTTCTCACCACTTTTGCTGGAAGCTGCGTTATGTTTACAAACTTGTGGAAAATGTGCCCTTTTTTTACCTCCTTTGAGTGTCATGGGAACACAGGCTGAGGTCTGATCCAGTAGCGCTGCTCAGAGCTGCCTGGTGCTTCTCGGGGGTCCCATAATCCACCCACGAGGTTGTTCCAGAGTGCAGCTAAAAGTTACACGCTGTTTGCCAGCATCCAAGATCCCAAACACGTCTGCAATCAACCTGGCTCAAGTATTAAACTCTGACAATTTTTCAGACAAGCACAGCTAATATTTTTTGTCATTTGTTCACGTTAAAGCATTAAAATGTTCTCTTGACTCTAAATTATATCATTTTAAACTTATGGGATGCTCAAGGAATATTTGCCAGAATTATTGGCTTTAGCTTATGCTGTTTGTAACTCAATTTTTATAGACTTGAATGGTCAGGTAATTTCCACGGTATAGTTTTTGGCTTCTTAACTGGACTCCATCCAAGTTTACAAAGTGCTTCTAGAGAGATAATGGAGTACATTCCAGCATCCTGTGAAATGTCAGCTATATATCTGGTGTTAGATGTGTGCAGATAACCTGGGTAGAGCTGCCAGATGCTGTAATTTCTTGCTTGGGAGTACCAAACACCCTGAAGATACCAAGACAATTCTGCCAAAAGAAGGAAAGAAAATGTAAAACAAGAAATAAGGAGAGTGAGAAGGATAAAGTGTTCAAAGACTGCAGTTTAACTCTTAAGTGGGGTTACCTGTATTTACTTACAGGAAAAGTAAATGCAACACTATTAATCTATACCAAAGAATGGTAAGGTGGTTGACGTGAGTAACAAACTTCCATTGTGAAAAGTATTAGATAATTTTTTGAGGAAATGTTTAAATCCAATATTAAAAACAAAGAAACAAACAAAAACAAAACAAAAAAACCTCCTACAAATGTAACTCTTATCTGAGTCTAATCAGCTGAGAGAAGCACGATGATAAAATAAGATGTAGCAGAAGCATAAATTGAAAATGGGAAATACTTTTTAAAAATGCTTTTATTGTATAATACATTCATATTGTGCAGGAATACCTTTTTAAAAGTGGCCTCTGTAACAAGTGGGTCTCAGAGGTCTTTGACTTGGGCTGTCTAACCTTCTTGGGTGTTGGACTAGAGATCTCCAGAGGTCCCTTTCAGCCCTAACTCTTCTGCGATTCTGTGACTCTCCTTTGAGGATATTTGTGAAAGTTATTCCTGAATGCTCAGAGATTTCTCTGCTTTTCATTATCTTCTTTTTTTTTCTTTTTTTAATGAGGGCCAGAACCGTGTGCCTGCTCTTCTGTGATATATTCACACGGGAGGTATTCTGGAACCGGCCAAGGACACAGCGTTTACAAGAAGGTCCTGACAAGCATCCAAAAGTCTTTGCTGGAGCTTCCATCTTAGATGACCCCACAGAATGTGAGAAAGCTTTCTTTGAGGGGAATGGCATCTTCTGGCTGGAACTACATCCAGAAATTCTGCTGTGCTTAACCCGTCCCTGAAATGCCCCGTGAAAATGAATTTAAGGGTGGAGGTAAGAATGACATATTCTTGTTTTCTCAAGAAAGACGCCAGAAGAGGCCTCATTTTTTGCTGCTCTGATTTTGGTTTTTTTCCAACTCACAGAGCTACCTCTCTGGTAAACAGGGTTTCTGAGAAGATCAGTTGGATGTTGGAGCCCCTCATCCTGGAAAAATCAAAAGAATTTGGGTCTTGACTTAAAAATAGCTCCAGTTAACGGCATCTGGAAAGCCTATCGTTTTGAGTACAGTCTTCCACTTGTGAAGGGGGCAAAGTTTATAATTTTGGGTGGAAACCATGTGAAAGTTAGCTGGTTCATCACAGTTTTGTTTTGACTTTTTTTGGATTTGTTCGAAATCAAAAGTCAAAGTGAAACTCGGGGGATGTGAACCCGCTTGAATCAAAACCAAGGGAGAGATGTGCCAGATCTCCCATGAACCAAAGAACCACTGGGTTCTCACAGTCCTCATCCAGACAAAAATGCGCGAATATAAATCAAATATCCTCTCTCTTGCTCCTCACAGCTTCCAGGGAAGCAACAGAGAACATTAAAAAAAGATCTGCTCGGTTTTGCAGCAGCAAGTACCAAAATATCCTGCGATCACTCGATAGCTGGCAGTTAATATCCTGATCTATTCTCTTTAGTCAGTAATCCAATCCTTTCCAGCTCACACTTGACGTTGGCATGCACAGCATAACCCCTTAACATCTTCCTCGGTTGTGCAATTTCACAGGGAAGACTCTGTACAACTCACAGTCCTTTACATCCCTGCTCGAGGAGCCGAGGAGGGAGAGGGATTTGCAATTATATGAAAACTGCAAGCAGCGTGATCAGTACAAAGACAGGACGCTTAGCCAGCCTGTGACAAGCTGGAGTACTGAGAAAAATATTTAATGATATTTTTCCCCGTGGTTCACCTTGTTTGAGAACAAACCACGGCTCAGGAGTGAGAGAAGAAAAAAAATAAATAAATATTAAAAATCAATGTTTTGCAGCACCATCACTCCCTGTGCACCGAACAGTTTCTAAAGCCATAAAAAAAAAGAAAAAAAAAAAAAAAAAAAAAGAAAAAAAAAAAAAAAAAAGTGCTGCTCATGGAAGAACAGCAAAGGTTTCGTTTGTAACTAAGACACACTTGTTTGTAATGACATGTGAGCTTTTAAATACTGCCAAGTTGCTGAGGCTATCTCTCTTAAATACAAATCTAGAAATATGTAAGTGTTAGAAAAAACAAGGTAATGTTCAAGAAATGTCAAAGGAAAAAAAAAACAGAAAAGTTTGATCAGATGGTTAAAATCCAGTCAAACCAAAGACAACCTGTTTATGACCTTTCTACACTAAAAGCTAAAATTGTAATTTTTTTTTTTTTCCCCACAAGATTAATTGCCATCACTTTGGGAGTAGTGAGCTGGACATTATTATATGATGTCAATTAATGATTAAAAAAAAAGGTGGGTTGCAAATGTAGCACCACAGTCCCTGGTGCATTACATCATTTCTGAAAGATCTTAACACGTGATAAGCAAAGAACATTTTAACCTAAAAGTCTGAGTGTTACAACCTCACTTTTGTTGTAACACCCTACGCGAAACCTTTTGGCCTCAAAGTCACTTGCAATAAAATTAAGAAGTCAAAAAGAAAAGGAAAAATAGCCTCTTAGGAGGAGAAGACACCCTCCTGTTCTGCTGTGCAAGTGTTAATGCCGTGGAATGAGTCACTGTATACGCTGGAAATCCTGGTGTAGATGTGAGTGTGTGCCCTGTTCTCAGCAAGATCCGTGACCCAGATCTCCTGCTCCCAGTCCTGAGGCTGCTGTGGTTCAGGTATTATAAACTGGATAATGAGTTATCTCTGCCAGAGCACCTTGGCAGTGTCATATGCTGAGCAAAATGACTCTGCACTTGCCCAGGCTCTGCTCTCCCAGGTGGGGTGACATTGATCACTGATGGGCCTTAGTGAATCTGCTGCAATATTTAGAAGGGGTTTTACCTGTATTCTTCATCTCCTCCTCTTACAACCTCCTTTTTGCAGCAAGTTTGACTTCTTTGTCAGTGACATTCATTTTCCTAAGAGCTCTTCTCCTCCTTCAGCACCAAAACACTGTCGAGGCTCCTTTGTAAATGAACGATCCGCATTTAAAATACCTTTGTAATAATAAATACCACATGAACATATGTATCAAGCAAAGGATTTCAATTTTGATGACACTTGCTTCTCAAGAACAGACATTCTGGGAGAAAAAAACGTTGCCAGCCCCAAATTGATTGACATTTGTTTACTTAACTCTCTCTTCTTGAAAGTCTGCACACCTATTTCAACCTTGAACAGTTTCCAACTGTGGTATACTGGAACATTTTTTCATTTATTAAGTTCAGTGTTGCCAACCCAAACAAAGAGTAATCAGTGATGATCCAAGCAGACCAAGCTGTCTAGCACCATACAATGTATCTGCATGCTAATTTTCAAATTCCCTCACATTTCCAGAGAACTAATGGGATCATTTTCATTCTGTTACAGCAACTCAACAGTTACTGAATCACCATCTGTGTTTTCGTTAACCTGAATCAGATATAAATTCTGTTATTGCAAGGTAGAGCAGCTTGTTTAATGATTCTTAATCTTTTCTTTAATTAAATCATGCAGCCAACCTGAAAAATCTATCTTAATGCAAATTAGGAGCTTTTTTGGCATTCGCTTACAGTAATGCACTAATAAGGTTAATTTATGAAGGTTCTCTTCCAGTCTGTACAGATGATATTTGTTCGCTGCATATTTTTAGCATATTGTCCCTTTTTGTAATATTTAAAAAAAAATAATAATAAAAAAATGCTTATTTTCACCCGCACAAAAGAGGGAGGCTGTGATCTGCTTATTGTTTATTAGAAAGTTAGAGCACAGAAAATGAAAATCAGCCTTTCCCTTCTGCGAGGATCAGGCAATGAGGATGCAAAAGCACAATTCGGGGACCTATTGAATTAAAGGGCCTCGGACGAGCACTTTCCTGCCTTTGGCTGGTGGAGAAAATCAGGCCACTTGCTCTGATCATCATCTTGAATATATCAGGGGAGATAGTTTCTCTAAACTCCCCTTTTTTACCTTTTTTTTTTTTTTCCTTGTAGGTGTGAATGAATAGTTTAAGGAGTAAATAATTTTTGTGAACTAAGCCCGAATACATTTCTCAGTTGCACAATTGCTTCAGCTCTGGGCTCTGATGATCTCAGTCAAGAAAATCTCTGTCTTTGTGAGCATTCCTCCCAACTACAAAATGACTTGAAATCTGTTCAAGTTGCTGAGTAAAGAGTAAACTTTTTTTTTAAAATGTCTTTTTTTTTTTTTTTTTTTAGGTTATTTTTCAACACCCACTAGTAAATGCGGATGGAGACTGTGAATTTCGACACACGGTCTTTGCTATTTAATTAAAATCACAGAGGCTGCTGGAAAGTTTTCAGCAAAGAATTTTTCTTTGCATCAGGAGGCTGCAGATTCTTGAAATCAGGGATTCTTTTCATAGAAAATGTGCCTGTTCGGGTTGGGAATGATTTATCTTTTACTTTTCAGTTCTAGGAAAGGACTCCTCATCTTAGCTACAAAGTATAAAAGTTCATTCCTCTTTGGAATGAGGATTTCCCAAGCTCAGGGGCAGCGAGGGCAGGCTGGTGGGAAGGGGGACACCCATCTCAGCCCCTTCCTTACCCCAACTCTGCCTTGTCCTACCCCTTTCTGCCTTTCCAGGTGGATTCACTCCATGCCTGACTCTATTAACCCTTTACACTGCCCAAGACTGGAGCTTTTGCCCAAGGATGAGGGAATTACCAGAGCTCTTTGTTTAATTAAAGAAAATAACACCCTGGAACAGCTTTGGGGTGGATGATTGAGGGAAACCTTCCTTCAAGTTCCCAGTAGCAGGGACTGGAAACAACATCTCACGCTATCCATGCAATGATTCCTGGCTTGTTAAGAATTCTGCTGTGGCTGCTTTCCTCTGATTTTAGGAATTTTGCTCACATGGGTTTCTGCATCTGTGGAATTTGGGATATGGGATTTTTTTCAGCTTCTTTCCCCCCTCCTCCTCCTTCAGCTTGGAAAACTGTTTTCCAGCCATTGGTAGTCCTTTCTGTGTAGTATTAGCACAGCAAGAATGACAAGTAATTGTTTTCCTCCCCATTTAATTGTACCTATGTGTTCTTAAGTCTATTACATGCTTCGCTTCATGCTTCACCTACTTTTAAAATAAGCAGATAAATGAGTATCAGCATAAGACTATTTTAATACAAAACTAGAGTCTTGTACTACATATTCTTTAAAAATTACATATATAAAAAATAATGTTGAAAAAGACAAATGAAAGCCTCAAAAAAACCCAAAAAACTTAAAGAAAATTACAGATTCTAAATTTTGGACCCTTTCCTGGGAAAAAAATATGGACCAATCTTTTTTTTTTTTTTCTCCCCTACTTCAGCAGCACTTAAAAATACCTGACACACTACTTAGTTCCTTTAAGAGTGAGATAAAAAAAGAATATTTGACAGTTTCATCCTAAAAAACAATATTGGGTCAGTCTTAAGTGTCTTTCTCTTGTCTGTGTTCTCTTCATTTTGTTGTTTTCTCTTAATTTTAATTGTTTTTCCTGTGCTTCACAGAAGGGTGACCAATCTCTGGGGGACAGGGCAACACTTTAAATTGTCAGTGTTTTCCTTACATCAATTAAAATCACTTTCCTCAGATATTAGAGCAACACTGTGCTCAAATAACTGAGTTATTAAATTAACTCCTAGTGAAAGCTCTCCGTAAGGAACCCCAAAAATCAGAAAGTGAGCTACTGAATCCCAAAGAGCTTTGCTAAAAGGCCACCATGAGACGAGTAGGGATGAAGATTGTTGCATCCAACGGAGACTTGTCCACCACACAGGAGGAAAGGGAGAGAGCATGATCCCATATGACACTAAAAATCTTGCTGGGTTAATTACCACCTCACTAAGCAGAGAAATTGAGGCAGAGAGGGCATTCTCATG